GTTATGGGATGGTGTGTTGACAAAACTACGAGCAAGGAGTCCAAATGACGAAATTCAAAAGGTGTTGAGATTGAGTTATGATGGATTAGCCTATGAAGAGAAGCAAACTTTCCTAGACATTGCATGTTTCTTAAAGGGTGAAAATGAAGCATTTGTAGAAGAGCTATTAAAGAGCTATGAATTCCATCCAACTGTTGGCATGCAAAACCTTAAAGATAAGGCTCTGATTGTCACAACCAATGGAAAAGTTGAGATGCATGACTTAATACAGGAAATGGGCTTACAAATTGTTCGTGAAGAGAATATCAGTGAACCTGGAAAAAGGAGTAGATTATGGGATCCTAGCGAAATCTATGATGTATTGAAAAATTGTGAGGTAAGAATATACCTTCTTCTCTCTCATTCTAAGAAAACGTTATTGGTCACCAATGCCAGAAAATGTTCTTTATTTTTCTTGCTGTTTATAAAGTCTAAACTTGTAATTTTCAGGGAGAAAAAGAGGTTGAAGGCATAATATTCAATACAGATGAGATTAATAGACCTTTAGATTTGACTGCTGAGACTTTTAATAAAATGACAAGAATAAGATTTCTTAAAGTTTACTCATCATTAACTCAGATTATGTCAGATGAATTGGGTATTGCAGCAGGTCTTGAGTCAATTTCTACCAAAATAAGGTACTTCACTACAGTCCTGGCGATACCCAGGAAAGTCCTTGCCATCAAATTTTGTGCTGAGCTTCTTCTTGAACTTAACTTGGAATGGAGCCGGGTTGAAACACTTTGGGAAGGAGTGCAGGTATTATATATCATTTTTAGTTTTAAATATTAATTAATATTGAGATCTTTGATTTCCGATGTAATGCCTTTATTTATTTGTGTTTTTAATATTTCCTAATGGTTTCCAGGATTTAGCTAATTAAGAAGAGTAAAACTTGAATGTTGTTTTGCGCTGAGGGAGTTACCCGATTTTTCCAAGGCTCGTAGTCTTGAAACCATAGATCTGAGTGGTTGTGCACGTTTGTGTCATGTGCATGCATCTCTCCTATCCCTGCATAGTCTCATTTCTTTGGATGTCAGCGGCTGCCATAGCCTTGAGAGTCTCCAAAGTAGAATTCATCTAAAATCTCTCAAAGAAGTCAATATAACTGGGTGCTATCGTCTTAAGGAGTTCTCGGTGTCATCAGAAGAACTAACATCTTTAGATTTAGATGGAAATGATATAGAAGAATTGAGCCCATCAATTGGGCGTTGTTCAAAGCTTAGAAGACTCAACCTCTGTGATACAAAATTGAAGAATCTAAAGGTATTAAGTTGCTTGACATATCTGGAGGAACTCCGTGTTTCCAGCCAGAAGATTGACAGTGTCGACCTACATGTGCTATTTGATAGCTTATGCAGCCTCCAATCACTGACTCTCGAGATGTGCTGTGACTTAACTGAACTCCCAGATAATATCAGGCAACTCTCGAGTCTGGAAGAGCTTTATTTGGGAGGTTGCAGGAATCTTCAATATTTACCAGAGCTTCCCCCCTCCCTTAAATTATTAGATGCCACTGATTGCACAGCACTCTCGTTCAACCTCTCCTTCGTTCATCACCTTAGAAATCTCAATCGTCTCCTGCTCCATACTTTAAGTCCTTGGTATCCTCCACAGACCATGCTTTGTCGTTTTAAACTCATGTGCCTTGGTATTCAAAAGATGGCAGTTCTATTTGATGCATTGCCATCTTTAGAAGTGTTGTCTTTGAAGGAGTGGCGCGACCTAACTGAACTCCCCCACAATATCACACATCTTTCTGAGCTACGCTATCTATCTGTAGAAGGTTGCACCATGCTTCGGAGTCTACCGGAACTTCCTCCATCCCTTAGAAAGTTGATTGCCACAGACTGCACATCACTGAAGACGGTGTCTGCTTCAACAATTTCAAGCACATCTGAGAATTATGGTGAGAAAATCTTTTCATTCATCAACTGTGTGAACTTAGATCTGGGCGCCATTGAAGAACAAGCCAATTTGTTGTTAGAGAAAGCAGTTCATGAGAAGAATGATGTTACAGTTTGTTACCCAGGGAAGAAGGTTCCGAAGTTGTTTGGGAATCATAGATCCCAAAATGATTCGAGCATCATCGAACTACCTCCAGCTTCTTACAATTTAGCGGGTTTTGTTTTTTGCGCCGTTGTTCCTGACTCCTTCCCACGGGAAGAGCATATGGCCCCTGAAATTTCCTTCGGCTTTACATTGGATGAAATGACTCGCGAAATTGCATTTTCATCGCTCATAAAATTCAGTCCTGGAAATGTTCTCCTACGTTCTAATCCAAAACTATCTGAATTGATAGTCAGGAAGATTGAAGAGAAAAGAAGAAACCATGAAACCACCTCTTATGACCAAAATCTTTTGTTCAAATTCGATTTTGGAATTGGTAGTGATATTCTCATCAAAGAGTGTGGAGCCTATCCCATATATGCCTCAGAATATTACAATGTTGATCAACAGGGGAAATCGGCGGCGTTCAATCTTGAATTCCCGAAAACGCAAGGTCATAATGATTGAATAGGTATTATCTCCTCCTTTAAGTAGCAAATTAAGAGCATGTATTCATGCTTGACCATAATACTCTCCCAGCTGTGTTGACAATGATTACATGCTAAAGATTGTCAACTATATAGGTTCCAGCAAAAAAAAAAAAAAGAAGACTATTTGATGCCCTTTTTTTGTAGTAATTATTGCACTAATGGTTGAATTTTGAGATTTTGAGCTTTTTTTCATCAGTTCAGTAATTCCATTCCAGGGAAATGATAATCTTATAAACAACATATCAATGAAAGATTTCTCAAACAAATAAAATAAGTTGCTTTTAACTAATGGGCATGTTGGTGTTTGTTGATATAAACAGAGTAAAGAAAAACAGGGGATGAGCTATTGCTCCTCCAAATTGAGTTTTAGATGAAAGTTGTTGAGTATCATTGAACTGATTCTGATCGGCATATTGATGTTTGTAGATGAGAACACATAGGTGAGAACACAGTAGAGACTTGAAAACAGAGTATGAATGTAACGTGCCATAACTTGCACAAGCCAATTTGCCATATTATGGTAATTGTGGTAATTATATTCTTGCAGATGATCAATTAATGTTGGCGTGGCTATCGCATTATTAGTCTGTGCATTGGTTCTCAAACCTTATGCATTTCAGTTTGGCAAAATAGTCTCTTACATATTCCAGTTTGTTACGGTACATGTAGCATCGAAATACACTTCAAGAACAAAAAATGGAGTTTTCAAACATGCAATACATAGCATTTATGTACATTTAAGATATGTGAATTAAGAGTTGTTTTTTTCAATAAAATTGTGTCTTGTTTTCAGGATTGCTGATAATTAAAAGAAAACTTTAATTTTCTATTTAGAGTAAACCCAAAATTGTTCCAAGGTGTTTCCAACTTCCTACAAGTTCCTATATGTCCTTGTATAGTGGATGTATCGCCTGATTTAATATAACATGAAGGCTAGATTTGGATGGAAGAAAAAATAAGAGAAAAATAATGAGAGAAAAGAAAAAAAATGAGTGAAACATAATGGGAGAAAATATTGTGAAGGAAAATTTTCTGCAAAAGATTTATTATTTTTTAAAGTTTTATTTTTGAGTATTCTTTTCTCTCTATATTTTTCACATCCAAACAACAAGGGGAATTTTCAATCCTTTATGCACAACTTCTCGGTTGAGGATATGGACGAGTTCAATGTGGAGGCCGATGCGTGCAATTCCACCGTAAGTCTTGAGTTCTAAATAATACTAGCCCCAACTCTTAATATAAGATAGATATATATATATATAACTAATTTGTGAAACTACGAACTCTCTTAATATATGTGAACAATAAAAATAATTTGGACAAGAAATTATAAATTTGCAGGGAAGTAACAAAGTAATTATTATTCCTCCAAACCCCATTAAGTCAGAGGACGTTGCGGTGAAATAGCAAAGCAATGGGTATATGAAACATCACCATCATCTTTTCAGCGTAGGCCACACATTTTATTGGACCTTAGTTAAGCAGAAGCTTTCACATGCAAATGTCCTTCTCCCAATGACTTGACTTCATAATTACTGTGCCCAAAAAAAAAAAAAATACTCCCTCCAATTTTAAATATAGGAGTTATGTAACTAATTTATGGAGTTAAGTTTATTATTTTAAAAAATATGTGTTTGATTTACCTAAATACTCCTTTAATAATTGTATTGAAAACTACCACATTAATATAAATTCCCATCAATGTGTACGATAGCAATAACGGTGTAACAAGAAAATTATAAATTTGAAAGATAAAATAGATTGAATTCATATATTTAGAATTAAAATACTCCTTCAATTCAAATTAGATCTAGAGGGCGTCTAATAAATCAGGAGTTCTTGATATTTATTAATCACCCATTTTAGGTTAAATTGAACATAAGTAATAGGCAGAAACAAACAAAAAAACTATTTTTTTTTTTGGTGATGGGAAATTAGTTGAGGAAAATGATGGGGAAGATTTGATCCCACTATCCCATGATTATTTGAGCCAACAAAAAATACAGTGACTATTGGGTCACAAATAATTTTTTAACATTATAATGCAAAAAATAAGATAAGTTAACTATTTTACTTTGGTTTGATAATAATTTATCTGGAAATAACAAGTCTTGATTAGAAAATGACAAGTTTAAACTTGATATTAACAGGGCATTTTTTTCTAATACATAACATAAAATAACATGTGAATTAATTAAAAATAATAATAATTTATTTGAAGATAATAAGGCTCGATTAGGAAATGACTAACCTAACTAAAATGATTATACTATTTAGCACAATTTTTTTTTTTAACCCCAGGTGAACGCAGTAAAATATAGCTGTTACAGTATGGGGGCAAAGGCGGGTAAAGCCTCTTCAGTCTTCCCAAAATCATAACTGCTTGCGCGGGGCAAGAGTGCAGAGGGAAAGCCACCTTTGGCCTGCCACGTGAAGTAGTACATTTGGCTGTTTCGGTTGTCCGGTTGCAGTGGTAATTTATTCTTGTAGATGATGAGTCAGTGTTGGATGGAGAAAAGATTGGAAGAGGAAAAAAATACTAGTCCTCTGTTAATATAAAATCTATTTTATAATATAAATTATATTATTAAATAGGTTTTATATTAAAAACCGAATGAAATGTTAAAAAACTCAGTCAAAATATTACTATATTCAATTTTTAATATAAAAGTTAAATCATTGTTGTTAAACTAACGAGTTGAGTCTCAAAGTTTAACATTTTTACATTTTCAATTTACATAATCATGTTAAATTGATATTAAATTCTTGTTAGCCGTAAACTCGATTGACCTTATGAGTTCACTCATTGAGTTTCTTGTTTTTACATTTTTATTTGACAAAATTATGTCAACTCACTTTTAAATTTATACTAAATGTTTGAATTTAGGTATATTTAGTGACTTTATGTGAATTTTATAAAATTTATTTATAGAATATGGTAAATTATGAAGGCTGACGGATTTAATTTTAATTATTTGGATTCAAAATATATTCAAATAGAATTATTGTTATTTTTTATATTTTAATTATTTAATTATACATTTTTAATATTAATCTATCTATTAATATATAAAAGTAAGGCACAAGGCATGAGTTGTTGGCAGTGCAACACGTGGCATCACCTATGAGTAGAGAAGTGTTCTTCTTCTTCTTCTTGTTTTTTTTTTTTTAAAAAGGCCACATTTTTACCCATAATTCTATCCATGTTTCTAATAGTCGGATATATCCACGTTGGTAACAAGCTATTATTTATTTACCATTAATCTGAGAAATATTAAAAACTGATTCAAATTCTATCACTTTTACGTGCGTGCCTAGAGGGAGCATGTTTAGTTTAAATATGTTTTTTTTATATTTTAGTAAAACTAAAATTTTATGCACACCTCTCCTATCATGTATTCCTCCCATCATGATAAAATTTGACAATTATCTTTCATAATGAATCTGACAGTTATCTCAAATTATTTTAGGTGAGTTGTTTGTTTACATTTTAGAATTAGAAGTTATCTTAAAAAAATATTTTAAATTTAAAGTTAACCGTAGTTGTTTATTTCAAAGATATTTATTGTTTATTCCCATTCAATTCTTATTCACATTCTCCTATTTCTTATTTAATATGTTATTATTCAATAATTTTAAATGAAAAATAGATCGGCATTATTTTTCTATTTTGCAAAAGTCAAAATTTTAGGCACACATCCTCTATTTAAACACGTTTTTCACCCTCTGATGCCTTTTTTACTTAATTTTTTATTGGATAAAAATATCTTATTTTATTTTTTTTATTTAATGATATTGTTGTACGTCTTAAACTTATATATCTAAAATATTTCATATTTGAATTGCATAAAATAACTTTCTTGATCCCAAAAATCATGGAATATATAACTGATATATTTTCAAAATTTGAAATTTATATTAATCTTGTAGTGTTACTAAATATTTTAAATTTCAAATTAAATAATATAACTTCTCAATCCTAATAACCAATTATCTTTTTATTTATTCAGTTTCAACAATTTAAAAAGATATTTAATTTCTCTCTCATACCTTCCTATTTTTATTTATTCATTGCTTCTTCAATAATTTTAAATAGAAAAATAAGTCTAAGCATTTTCTTCTAGATGAGAAATCGCCATTTTGTCATTTCTTAGTTAATAAAATGGTTTTGAATTTCATATTTTTATAATTGAAATATCTAAAATATTTAATTTTTAAAAAGCATTATATATATTATCATAAGTTACATAATACTCCAACTTAAAAAATATACTTGTCTAAAATATAGCTGGCAACTTTAGAAACAATAATTTTGCATCAGTGTTATTTTAATTATAATAATAGTATTTACTTAAAAATTAAAAAATAGAATAAGTGATGAGGTCCTAAACGTGGCCCAATATTGATGGTGGAGGCGGTTATAGTCGTCAGTCAGTTTACTGCAAGTAGGGAGGGAGTAGAGGATTCTATACCTTCTGTGGGCAATCATGAAAGGTATGCATTCCATGTTTAAGCTTTTCAAATTTTTCGAGCAATGGATTATGATGAGTCATATTTGCCATTTTTCAAATGTTTTCCCTTGTTTGTGTTTGGTGGCAGAATGTTGTAGCAAAAGGTTAGTTCCTTCGTCATCTTCTTTTGTTAGTTCTTCTTCTCGATTCCTCTCTTCTTTCCATCTACTTCGTCACTTACTTTCTTCTTGATGATATACCATCGTGGCTGAATCTCTCCCAACCAACCATCGTTCAATCCCGATCGTTGTCTTCAAGTGAGTTTTGCATTTTGATATTATGATTTGGGTTTTTTTTTTGGTTAGGATTTTTTTTTTACTTCATATTTTTTTCATCTTATTTTATTCTCCCAATGCTTTTAACGCCTCACAAATTTTATTGGGAGAGGAGAGGAAAAATTTGAACGTTTATACAGATGATCACTATATATGTGGATTGAGAATTTCTCCTCACCAAATATTTTGTA